CCCCCCCCCCCCCAAAAAAAAAAACGGTTTTCCAATGATTATTGGAAGGAACTGGTATTGGGTCCAGTCATTGGACAAAATATGACTAAGGAAAATGTCATGTTTTGCTCACAAGAGATTTAGTTGATAGGGTTTGAACACCTGCCTTTCCAAGATTCTTTGTTAAAGTGCCAGATATGTTGGTTAGTAATTCTGATAGTCAGTAGGGTCTGATACATCTTTAATGCATTTAAAATAACTTACAGTTACAGCCACTACATTGGAACCTCCTGGGGAATTCTCAGGAATCCTGGCAATATAATAGTCAGATGAGAACTTTGGAACATTGTCATTGGTGTCCAACAGACGTATGACTATATCCGCTGTTGAGCTGAACTTCTCAGGAGTGTTCACCTCTATAGCAAGAAGCTAAGAAAATAAAATTGGAATTTAACACCGGTACTTGGAAAACATTCATCAATACTCTATGCAGGTGCACTTTACCCCATTTAGAACAGAATGGGGAGCATGCAATTTAGGTAAATGAATAAATCATGCTAAGATCAGACTCAAATTTTAAATGAATAAGCAGCTTAAAAGAGAACCACTTTAAATATGTTTTTGAACATTTTGATTGCCTCCATCAAAAAATCAACTTGGTTCTCATAGAAACCAGACTCCAAATTTGTGTGCAATAGGAACCAGATTTACAGTCTGTAGGTATCATTACTAACAGAGGAAGTGTATGACTGATATAACCAATCACAACACAGCTGAGACACCTATTGGAAATCAAATACCTACAAAGAGCTGCTCCTGATCAACTCATAACATTAAAAAAAAGACTATAAAAATGTAATCATTGAATTATTTAGAGCAATGAATAAAACTGCTGGAAGCAGCGGGTGAATATTTTTCATACAGACAGACTGCAAATTTATCCAGTTGTTCACTGCAAGGTTACTTGATCAGCTCCAGTGCTTAGCAGCCACCTATAGCAGCTGATATAATTCCCTTGGAAGGGCTCAAGATAAAAAACAGCACTACAGACCAAATACTTGGGGCCTCCAGAGGCTGGTGCTAGTGGGAAGCCTGGAAGCCGAAACACATTGCATGCATGTTCACAAACACAGCCAGGCTGGGATTCCTATCTATTGAACTGAAAAATCCAGAGGTTTCATTAATGAGAACTCCCAGACTAAAGCTTCCTTGAGCTTTACCTTAGCTGAGCCATTCCTGAGGTATATAGTCATAGCGAAGGTTAAAGGAAGTGAAAGTCTGTGACTGCAGGGCCTAAGTAATAAGGACATTCTTAGATAGTGACCAGCACCTTGAATACCATGTTGAATGTGCAGTTACTCCAGTGTGGAACTATGTTCTCATTATTCAGATCTTCTGAAAAGACAGACAGGTCCATGCTGCACCAGATGCACAAAGACACTTTTGTAGGATAACCCAGTTATTTTTAGGTTATAATGGTCTGGTCTTGAGGTGACAAAAATATGACTCACCACAAACTCCATACTTAGAAGAATGGGCTCAATTTTTTAGTCACTGAAGCTGTAAATGTGTGTCTCATTTGAGGTAGTCCCAAATAATCAGAGTCAAAACCCAGGACAAAAGAGGAGTAGCAGTGGCATGCAAGTAGCTTTCTAAGATGCACTGCTATTCAGTGGCTAGGGAGAGCGCACAGCCTGACACGATTGCCCCTGGATTGATTGGATTACCTTGAATGAGCCACTAGCCACAGACATACAGGGAACTGTTGGGAGGGGGAGGGGACACCTTTAGCACATTTTATCTCACATACTTCACAGGTACTTCAAGCGGGATAAAGGGCTGATAAGTCTTTAGTATTCTGAAACAAAAGGCAGCCTCCCAGGGGAAATGTGACAGTTTATACCCTGGAAGTGAAAAATGTTTAAATTTATTAATGGGGTATCTAGGATCTAATAAATACCCAAGGGGATGAACCATTTTCATAACTGGGAGGCACATACTTTTGGGCAAGGCAGTAGCCACTGGTTCTGCTAAGTCTTTGAAATGCACTCTGGTTGGATGGCTTTACCTTACTCTCTGGAATGTTAATGGATAATAGTAAACCAGCAGGGAAGGAGTTAATAATTCCTCAGGGGAAGATATAACAGGCAATGAAAATTGTTATGGAGTAGATGTTAAATATTAAAAATTCTGATTTCTACCAAAAATAATTACCTATAGCACATAAAAATAAGTGGCAAGTTGATTGAATTTACCAGGTAAAAGAAAGAGAGAATGACATTTTATTAAAATGTACTTTAGTTGAGTTACTTTAAACCTTGCTTATTTCTACCCTTCCTCCCCTTTCTAATTCAGATTTGGAATTAGTCTTTAGGAAAATCTTTCAGTTTATCTTTAAGCTTTTGGGAAAAAATTATCCAAATAAAATTATTGATCTCTTAAGCAAAAGAAATGTATTATTTTCATTTGTACTTAATTCTTTTGCTATTCACTGCAATAAAATTAATTGCTTTGAATTTGCTTAGTATTCATGAGGTTGCCATGTGTAACTTCTTTACTGGTCTTCTGGTAATTTAGCATGAATAAATGTGCACTTATAATTAATTTGAGTAATACTTTATTACCTCTCCTGACCTCACTGTAATTCAATAAGAATATAGAGTTTCTATAGCACATGTAATCTGAGGAGTTCAAGGTGCTTTACAAAAATGGTGAAATGAAGGCATGCTATAGAGAATTTTATTTAAATCATGTGACAAACCCTTGGCAAAGGGGAGAAAAGAACACAGTAAATCTGACTCTTAGATTTCTCCTGGAATCACCGTGTAGCAACCCCCCCAGTTTTTTAAAATTTATTTTAAAATGCATTGCCTCCTCTTCCCCAACCATTTATGATTTTTTCTCTTCCTCTCTATTCCCTATAGATAAGTATAAGTAAGCTAAGATGTAGGATAAGCTTTAACATTTTATTTTAGGGAGTAAGTTTTATTTTTCTCTCCCCTCTTTGCAAATAAGTCTGCTGCTATTTTGATATTGATACCCACTGTTTTATTAGTGATAATTATTATGTTTGTACTGCTTTTATACTGTGTGATTACTGCTTTAGGCCTATATATATGCAAGTTAGCATAAGGCATGTCAAGTTTCCATTTTGAATGTCAAACCTCCATCTTGTGTCCTCTGCCCGGGCATGCCCTGTGTTGCAAATGTTTGGTTCATGTACCCCCCCATGTAAATTGGTTCCTGGATGAATGAGAGTGATTGGGAAGGATTCAAATACAATGGTAGCAGGCCTCTACTGAATGGCCTGTAACAACCAGGCCATCACCTCGCATTGATTCACCCAGGAACCACGGACCTCACCCAGGAACACAGACAAGAACCCAGCATTTGAAAGACAAAAGACCCTGCAGAACCAGCAACTCTCCCATTGTACCCCACCGTTACAGAAACCTGAAACTGCATGTCCCTGCATGGAGCGCACATGCTCAGTACACCAGGGGCTGACCCTTGCCTGGGCATGCCTCCTGTCACTATGGTCACACAATGTCTATCCCCTATAAAAAGGGGCAGTGCAGACAGACCCAGTGGGATGCCCTCTCCATCTGGACCAGCACCATGCCACACCACCTATCCACCCAGAGGCCCTGCTGGCGACCCCCCTCTGAACAACACCTACTGGACAAGGCCCCCTTTCCAGCCTGGATAGGTAGCTATCACCCCCCACCCCCTCTTCAACCAAGGACTTGGACTCTGCTTCTCTTCCCTACTTGGACTCCAGCCTTTCCACTGAGTCTCTTTCTCCTGGTGCCATTGTGAGTGCTTACGTATGTATATGTGTGTGTGAACAAATAGCTTCATGGGGCTGTGTAGTGTGTTGTCTGTTTAATAAAACTGTTATTTGGACCCATAAGTTGGGTTTTGCTTTACTATGGTTTGGCCCGGCTCCAATCTCTGCTCCTCGCCCCTCTAACTTCTGTCTCATGTCTCCCTCTCCTGCTTCTGGCTCACTGCCACCTCCAACACCTGTCCTGAGCTCCTCT